CAGTAATTCTAAGAAAATGGTAAAAAATTATATTTGATAAATGTGATGGCCAAACCCGTGGCCACACCTTAAGTCTGGACAATACATGCACCTTTATTTATTTAATCCATACACATATTTTAGTTTGCAATAAAACTTTATTTTTGTTCAATCGCATGTGTTCTATTTGTAAGCACGCACATTTAGTTCACTGTATTTGTTTGCACTCATTCATATTTCTTTCTGTTTTTGTCACTAATCTGTTTCTTACCTATGGTGCCTAGGAGTTTGCCCAGACAAAGATGGCAGCCAGGGTTCAGGTCTGCTAAATGCAGGAGGGGGAAAATGGACTGTTCCATAAGCTGCAGCTTAAAGGGGGGATTTGAATTTTCCTTTTCTAATTTTTTGCATTTTTCACTTACGATTTGTTTGCGGTTGGTGGGTTTTCATTTTTATAAGATATAGATTATTTTTGGCAAACCTAACTATACTTCCAATATTTGTAAGTTGTGGTTGTTTGTTTAGTTTGAATTATCCCTATTGTGTTAATGGTCTGGAGTGCCTCTTTTATGACATTAACCCATGTATTTTTTTGCAAGTTTCTTTTTTGGGTTAAGAATAAAAAACGTATTTTTGTATTAATTCCTGTGACTCTTCATGCTTTTCATCTCGGTCCCTCACAATAAATGATATAAATATAAATTATATTACATAACTATTTTGCATTTAAGATAAAACATTTTTTTCAATTTCACCTGGTTGAAAAAAACAGATGAAACAAAAAAAAAGTGGTTAAAAAAAGTTTTCTGTAAGGAACCTTTTGCTAAGCAATTATTAAACCATTACTTAAAAAAAATCAACATAACTGATCAGCAAAGTAATCGTTAGTTGCAGCCCTATTTTCAGTTAGTGTCATGATCTTGATTGTTCATCCCATTTACCTGTATAGCTCTGCCCAGTTTCTCATTACTGCTCATCTGTTTCATCTGCTCCAGTCTCTATTTAACCTGCTGGCTCCCAGTCATCAGCGCCTGATTATTTGAGTCTTTGGAAAGAGATCTATAGCATTCCTGAGTTTTTTTGATTTCCTGATCCTGACCCGTTCAACCTCTGGACCTCTGATACTGCCTGTTCCTGTTCTGATCTGATTGAGTCTTTGGACTCCTGCTAGATTTTGCCTGTTTACCGAACCTGTGCCGGCTTCCAGACACCAACCTGGATTTTCCTTCGGTACAGTACCATCTTCTGGCCCTTTTGCTTTTGGACTCCCTTGATTCCTCTTCGACTCTGGCTTTTTCCTCTGGATAATCCTGCCTTCGTTCATCTGCTTGGATCTCATCTCCTGCCTGTTCTGCAGTCTTCAAGGCTCCATCGTCTGGGACTCTTTGGGCAGCGCTCGCTGCATGGTGCTGGCAGCCGTTCGGCTGGAATCCACCTCTTCCTCTTAGCATGGACTGAACTTTAAGACCAGGTAAGCTACTCACGCGATAGTAATCATTACATGGTCACTAACCTGAGTTTTCCCCCTGCAGAGTTTCCTGCCTTAGACGCAGTTACTGCAGATCCCCCGTTTTTAGTAAACACCTTTTTGAGTAATCTGTCTGTCTGCCTTGATTACTGGGTCCTCTGTTCTGAGCCTTGACAGTTATAGTTTTAATCTTTTATGAAATGTGACTAACATCCTGTGAGAAAGACTACAAAAATAAATAGATAATAGAAATGAAATCCTAGGCAGCAGCAACAAAAATGAACTGACTACGGTACCTGCATCTGCTGGAGTTATGCAGTGCAGCTAAAAAAATAGCAAAAACTGGACCTCACATTAATATTCTTATGATTTATTATGATTAAGACACAAGCATATTCTTATCGTAAATTCTGTTTGTTTTAATTAGTTTTGTAAACGCATACAGTTTCAGTTGTATTTTTGCAGGGTCTAGTTTTATTCTTATTTCAGTTAAGATTTTTTTTTTTATTCCAGTTTTTTAAACTTCGTTTGTTTTAGTTAACAATGATAACCTTGGTCTGAACTTTGACTAGGCCGCTCATACATATCTATATCCCCCACAGAGTAGCTCCTGGTGTGTCTTTAGTCATTTTCCGCCACTGAAAGTCGATCCTCTGCCTTACTCTTGAATCTTTTCACAAAATAACAGGTTTCCTTCCAGGGTTTTAAAGGTTTTAGCTCCTCCACCTTCCTGCCTCTTTCCATGTTCAGACGACGGATTGAACAGCAAAGCTTCAGACATGCATTAATCAACCCTGCTTTAATCTTCCACATAAATTTACCTCTGACCTGCCTACTGTGTCCCTGGATCTGGGTTTTATTTAGGGACACTGGAGTAAAGGGGATCATAACCTACTAATATAGCATACTGTTAGTTCATTAATAGAAAATAAAAAAAATCATATATAATATGTTGACGTTTTAAAAGCTATAGCTGGTTAAAACATTAACAAAAGGTTTTAGTCAGCAGTTCATATTCAGGTTTTTACATAATAGAGCTCAATTGTGTTTCTTCTGTTCCTCCCTAAGCCCCCTAATCTCATCCGCAGTCTAATTATACCAGTCTGCTACAAATCGTGACCAGTCACGCCAATCAAAAGGCTAAGAGCACAAGCATGCTTAATGAGTGTGGCATCAAGCATGCAGAAACAGAATAAGAGGAGAAGATTACCTTAAAAAGGCTATCTGCAAGCCTTAGTACTGTTGAATTATTTATAACATATTTATAACATACATATAACATTCCTATCCGCTCCGCTTTGGTGTGACTTTTTAAAGCTTCCCAAAAGATAGTTCCATACAAACAGTTTGCACGGTTCAGAATTAAAACAACGCTGCATTTGTTCGGTAAACTCAGTGCCGGATCTGCAGGACGGCATTAAGACTTTTTAATCACTGCTTCGACTAAAGATATGGACAAGTTCAGGAAAAAACCAAACATTTACACTTCAGTAGAAGATCCGTAACTGATCCACGACCATTAGAAAGTTTAAAGATGGAGCTCTGTACAGTGGTGAAAAAAGGAAGTAATAGTTAACCAGTAAAAAGAAAAATAATATAATGTTTGTTTCCAGAAACAGGTAAGGGAAAACTATGCATTTATCCATAATTATATAATATTAATCAAATATCTAATAATCAGTGGTTTAGGAAGATTGTCAAAACAGAAGCTTCAACCTTAAAAACTATGTGATTTTTACCCCCCTGTATTTGTGTAGCAGTATTTCCGATCACATTAGGACCAGGACCTGCCTTAAAACAAAAGCAGAGCTTTGAGCGGAATCATTCTTAGCGTTTGTCCCTCAGTGAGTCGTGTAAGAGCCTGCAGTAAACGTCTGTGTCGTGGGAGCTCAGTGTGGGCGTCTCCATTAAATGACAAACCTCTCAGACGCATTTCACCCACAAGACTGGGCCTCGTGAGGCCCTCTTGGAAAATGCCACACCGAGATCCAGCTACATAAAGTCTGGCTGCAAGTCTTTTTGAGTTGGTCTCTATGGCTTTACAAGATGTCTGGTTTCATGAAAAGAATCAGGCACAGATTTCTGTCCCACTGGAACCTAGTCTCAATCAGCAACTCTGGCTTTGTTTAAAAACAGCAACCCCATAGGATGAAGCTGCCACCCCCTTGTTTTCACATTAGTTGTATAACTGTGTCATTTCTCAGCTATACAGGTCATGCTACCACATGAAAGCTGCCAAAAGGTATGGCAAATTTAGCTCCTATACCACCACTTGCTTGCTGCTGGATTATCATTTTTCTACACAGAAAGACAGAACAATGGGTGGTGAACTTAAAACAAACCTCAAACCTATTGTCATTTTAACTGCCAGATCGGAAAATCTACTATTTATGAGAGAAAAAAAAAAGTGATGGGAAAAAAACTGAAGAAGAAAGCAAGCCTTTTGGCCTATAAAATGCTACCTATGGCATTATTACAACATTCACTCAATGAAGCATGGCGGTGGCAGCATCATGATGTGGGGATGCACAAAGCTGCAGAAGATCACAGACTGAGAGGGAGATTCATCTGCTAGCAGGAAGGCAAAGGTTAAAATGGAAAGGTTTAGATCAAAGCCTTTAAAAACGTTTACATTTCGAAATCAGTCTGTATCAGAAATTGAAAAATCTAATTGCAGATGCTTTTTATCCAGTTCAAAAGGTTGAAATACGCCTGCCGATGGTATTTAACCTTCAAAAATTGCAGACATAAACTGGATCGGAGGTGGATCTTTGAAATATACAAAGATTTAATACAGAGCTGATGTACCTTCCACCTATGGATCAGTTTGTGTTTGCCTGTAGAGAATCCCAATTAAAATTTTTTTTTTTTAAACAAAAAAAAGCAGAAGGGGTTAGGAATACCCTGACAAAAGGCAACTGTAACTTTTTAAAAATCCAGCGGCGGTTTTACATGTTTTCAACCTAAACAGCAATGTTTACCCACCAACCTGGCAAAACAGGTTCAGCAAACAGCTGATGACAAAAAAAAAACATAATACACCAATAACACCTCATGGTGTGTTTATATATTGTAGAAATGAGCAGGAATGATGCTCTGTGTTCAGAAACAGCAGACAGCCAAGATAGGAGGAACCATAACTGCTGGACAAGTAATCTGAGAAGAGCAGCTTCACTCTATCAGGGCAGTAAAAGTGGCATTTTAATGGAAGGGAGGTTTGCCTGTCTCCTAGCCTACAAGAACAATCTGTTCATTGGGAATCCAAGGTGTTTCCAACAAACCTTTTTAAGTGGTTTTAACTGTATTTGGTCCACTATAAGTGAGATAATCAGAGATGCATAGGTTAATAGTGCTCTTTTTACGCCTTGCTTTATTCTGACATGATGTAACTGCATGCCATTCGCCTGCCTTTGGAGGATGTGGCTCAGTGTAGCACAGGATCACTGCAATTGGCCCAGAGCAGACGTATGCAATGCCGCATTTATTTCCCTTTGTAGTACAACTAGGATGGGGGGAAAAAAGGTGAGATTCGAGCGCAGGGATGATGACCCACCTTTAGATTCGCAGTCGGCGCAGTATTTGTTCTCCTCCAGCGCCAGCAGAGAGTTGAGCACCGTCTGGTATCTGTCAACGTCTTTCACTGATTTGCCCGTCATCGCTGCGCTCTGATGATCCACCCTCCTCCACACTAGAGCCTCCAATTAAGCCTCCTGTTGGCACCGGCTCCTGTCAGGGAGCTGGAGAGGCAAATGAGGAGCAGAGACGGCGATGCGCTCAGTTCCTCCTCCTCCTCCTCCTAAAAGTGTGGAGCGCTGTGAGTTTTGCTTCAGCCTCTCCCCTAATGCACAGGAAAACAGCCACGTGATTTCCAGGACTCAACATGAGCTGCTCACTTTGAAGCACATCTGTAACCTATCAGAGACCGCAGCCTGCTCCTTGGAGAGCCCATCTTATGATGGCGCAATTATGCTGCCATCTGGTGGCCATTATATGGAGGACCAATCCTGCCATAATTAAAAATAAATACAGAAATAAATAAATGCTCCAAAAATAATTAAGCATACAATTAATTGTTCCCAAAATACAATAAACAACTAAATTCTGAGATTAAAGTTAGAATTCTAAGAAAAAAAAGTCAGAATTCTGAGATTAAAGTGAGAATTTTGAGAAAAAAAGTCAGAATTCTGAGAATATAAAACTGAAATAAAAATTTTAAATCAGTTTACTTTTTTAAAAAAATCTTTCAATTCTTCCGTAGCTACCGTACAAATAATCAGAATAAAAAAGATAAACTCATCAAAAGGATGTTCTGTGCGCATTACATCCGAGACCTTGAAAATAAATGTCACCAAACTGTTTTATTGGGGGGACATTTTTTCCGCAAATGTAAAAAGCCAAATACTGAATAACGTTCTAAATCACAGCTATTAACGATATTTTTATTTTGATTTAGTCACAACCTTTTCCTTAAAAAAAAAACAAAAACAAACTCTTTTCTGTCTCTTGCATCTTGTTGCTGCTTCAGATAAACCGGAAGCTCACGCTTTTATTTAGCTAGCTTTGCAAAAGAGGAAGCGTATGACTGAACTGGTGATCACGGAACTAAGCGCTTGGCCAGAGTCAAATAAATAAGGGATTAATCTCGAATTACCTCCGGTGTAATCCCGTAACCCTTTCCACGATGTCTCGGCAATCTAACCGAACAACAGACAGCAAGAAAATGGTAGGATAAACGCCACAGGAGCTAGCCGGCTAGCTAACTTTCAAATGCTAACCGATGACAGCTAAGCTAGCAACTTCACATCTTCAGCAAATTAATGTTTAGACAGTGGAGTTCTACTATTTTAGACCTCGTTACCAAATAGATTGAATGAATCAAAAAGTGTTTCTTTGATTTTCTTATTAATTGCATCTTAATGAAATGTCCTCGTAATATACAAACTAGAAATACATTGTACATATAATAGTATCTGTTTTGGTCACTTTTGGAACATTTATGTTGTTATATTTTGTTAATTTGAATAATTTTCTTATAGGTAGTTATATAGTAGGTATTTTATACTCGAGTAACAAGTAATGCAGCGTCCTGACAACAGTAACAGCATCTAAGCTTATTTTAAACACTATAATTCATATTTAATGCTCTCTGTCTGAGCCTTTACTCTGCAGCATGTGACTCATTGTTAAATTAATGGAAACTATTAGAACTACTAAAACGGTTAAATACAAAATCACTATTACTGCAAAACATTATAAATACATTTTAATAAAGTATGACTGAACTTCCTTGGCAGAATTGGCTAAACATGAGAGCTGCTGCAGTTTCATCTGAATATTTCATCTCAGGAACCTATTGTTCTTCATTCATATTCAATTTTGTCTGGCTTGCATATTTTTTTAACTATTAGGCATTGATTATTTAAAAAGATATCATAATTTTGAGGAGGAAAGAAGACACAATGAATAATTTTAATAAAACTCTACTTTTGGTGGCAAAGAATAAAAACAAAAACAAAATTCCCTGACCTGGTAATTGTTCTGTTAATTGAGATACATTTTTCATGTATTTAGATAATTATTACTCCCTAAAGACCTGCTAGTTCTCGTTTTAAAAAACCCCATAAAAACAATATAAGTATATTTGGATTTAGATAATGGTTATTTAGCATAAAGCATTCTTTTTGTTTTTAAAAAGGCTGCAGAGCGAAGTCACTATACCAATGCTATATCATGTCTTTATTTCCTAAGTAGGTTAACTTTACAATATTTATTGATCCTGATGAAGAAAAAAGTAAGCCACTAAAATATAGCATAGTCTTCTAGCTTTTTGAGGTTTTAAAAAAATGCATCTCAGAGTTATACCATCATTGGCAAACAGGCAATATATTTTTTTCTTTTGAACTAGTGAGAGGTAAATATTTAAGGTAAATTAGACAGTTTTTAAGAAATGTTTAATCAAGCGTATGCCTACTAGAAATGTAAGGACATTCCCATATTACCTAAATTCTTAACTCATCATTAGGGTTGGTGGTCAAGCCATTATTTCCTGTTCTGGCTTAACAGGAATTAAAGAAATATAATTTTCGAAGACTTTAAGTTTTACCTTTATAGTGGGTAAATAGTATTTTTGTCAGTGTGTGTTAACACATTTATAAAGTACACAAACGCTATTAATAGATTATTTAATAATTGTGTATTGTTTGTAAATTGGTAAACATTTAAACAGGACTGCAGCTCAGTGGAGATTGCCACAAAGTGATTCATTGAAATAACTGAACACAAATGGATTATATTAATATTTCTAAAATCCTGCTTCGGTTGTACAGGATGTACAGATTCCCTATTCATATTAGCCAAAAAAAACAAAACCCATCAAATTATATCCAACTGAATCTAAAGTATCCTATGTGTATGTTTTTGTTTCTTTTTTGGACCTATGGGTTAAAACGCAGCCCTCAACTAAAAAACAAACAAAAACCCCTAATGCTGTTTTGATTGCTACACACAAAATCCATCCAGCTGCAGCTTTTTCCCCGGTGCCACCATGCAGCAGCGACTTATCCACTTAAACTGAGAAAGAAAGAAAGAACTGATACAAACCAGAGACTAGCTTTTTTTTTTATTTTTTTTTATAGCCGAACCACAACCAGAGAGCGGCAGACTTTTTTAAAAGCGTATTTATACGCCACTCTGTCTGTTATGGATTTCATTTAGCAAGGCAGTTGGCTTTATTTTATTGATTTATTTATTTTTTTAATCTTTTCTCCTTTTTTACCCAATTTATTATTACCCAATTTATTATTATTATTTTTTATCTTTTCTCCTTTTTTACCCAATTTATTATTATTTTTTTTTTATCTTTTCTCCTTTTTTTCCCAATTTTATTGATTTGATTGTGTGAATGTTGTTTTTACCCATGTGTTAGCTTTTTTTTTTATCTGGACTGTTTTATTTATTTTTCTGTACACAGCTGTGGATGTTTTATAAGTGCTAACCAAATAAAATTGGATTTGATTGATTTTAAAATAATAAATGCAAAATTAAACAAACAAACAAAAAAATTCCTCCAGTGAAACTGTGCGCTTTCCGAAAAAAAAAAAAAAAAAAAGGCTGCACCAGTTTTAATAAATGTATAAGAATCAAATAACTATAATGTCTCATAATGCAGTCAGAACAACTGGAAAAGATGAAACTATTTCCACGAAACTTATATTTCTGACAACAAAACAAGCATCTTTACCTTAAAAGTGTTTTAGCAGTTTAACAATATGAGCCGCAGCGCAGAAGAAGCGCTCTGAGGGCGTGATTGTCTTTACCCTGAAAGTCACCTGCACAGCTATGTCATCCATCGCCATTTGTTGGACTGACAAATGTCAGTTGGAAATGTTTATATATCGCCTACACATATGCAATAACACGTCTAAATCAGGAATAAGAGAATAATTTGTGCAGATATCATATTGGGTCAATATTAGTATCGGCCAACACTGAAAGATACATAAACAAGTTGTACTGGGACCCCTCTAATTGAAAGTAATTGATTTATTTTGCCTAATTGAATGTGTATGCGGCACCCATATGCATTTATCCAGTAAATGTGCAATAAACTGTTGTCTTTTCCCTGTTAGAACTCGGAGCTGTTTACTCTGACCTATGGGGCTCTGGTGACCCAGCTTTGTAAAGACTATGAGAACGATGAGGAAGTCAATAAACAGCTGGACAAGATGTGAGTAACTTTGAAAAGTCTGTCAGTAGTGATGATGAGATGAAGCCTCATGAGGCTTTCAACTGTTTGGCCAAATTGCTTCAATGATCCCTACAGTTCATGAGGCTTCTTGTGAGCATGTCACCACCTACTGGTGGAAAGCAGAACTACAGTTTGTAATAAAATTGTGATTTTTTTGCAATTGTTTTTCTTTTTTTCCCCTTTTAAGTTCCTTTGAAATTAATTGAAAATAATGGTTGGTATATATAACAAAAAACCATCTGTTTTTTAAGTGTAACATTTCTTAGAACAATCATTTAAGGTGTACAGTTTTCCATTTTAGTGAAATAAACTCAAGCAGACAGTGAAAGTGTTTGTGCAAATTGGACAATGATGAGCAAATTTTTAGGTTTTAATCGGGCTGGAAGTTGTGTTCAACCAATCTTTTGGTTAAACTTACCTAATTTTCTTGCGTTTTTACTCAAATCTATATTTTAACTAAGGCAAAACCTATGCAAATTAGTCTCATTAGCCAAAAAAAATTAAGTAAAATCACTTTAAAAGTCAAAGGTAGGTCTTGAACCATTAACCTCAGGAGAGGGAGTCTGTGTCTTACAGATGACACCACTTATGTTGTTAACTGTTCAACGGAGAAAATAATACTTAAAACTAATGTTACAACTGTCTCTGGTGGCTTGCTCAGATTTTGATCATTACATTGTTTATTCTAACCAAAATAGTTTTAAGCAACTAGATTGGTTGTAAAACCAACCAATCTATTGTTAGAATCTATCCAAACTCTATCTAGCTGACAGCAACTCTTCCAAACTCCCACATCTTGACTGAGTACTGAGGCTGTTTAAATGCCTGTCAAAATTCTTGCGCTTTCTGAACCGCTTCCCGAAGCGGCCTCGTGGTATCACGGTAGCGAGGCCTCGGACGTCATCAATTTTGGCCCCTCCTCTAAATAAATCAAGCCTCCACACGCGATTCAGGGAAACGCCCCCTCCATTAATCGACACGCCTCGAAGCCTCGGCTCATCTCATAACATCACTATCTATAAGACCTGCTGCAGATTAATAATGATGTTAAAGCTTTAATGTGAATCCCTGAAACTAATTGGAATATTTAATTTGGAAACTAAAACTATTTCATTACTGTTTCTGCGTCTAATAGATGCATTCCTTTAGTGTGTATTAGCGTACACTTCTAGAACCACTGGGTTATGTTTTCTTGTCATATTGCATATCAGATATTTAATTGTATCTCACTAGGTTTAGTTATTTACAATATTGTAGCCATAAAAAAAATTTACTTTTAAGAGAAACCAGCTGAACTCAGCAGAAACCAGCAGAACCGTGACTGAAGTTGAGATAAAATTTCTCTCACATATCAATGTGTGTTTGGGCTACAAGACTTTAGAGGGAGCAAATGCCGAGGCATGTTTTTTAAGGACAGACCAAACATTTCTTAAAGGCCAAGCCGGATACAGTAATCCTGAAGCAAAGAAGTTTAGACAAAACCATGGATTTGTAGCCCCAAAAATTCAAAACATCCCTTCAAGCCAACGGATCTTTGGACTGAGTGTGCTTTGTTTCTCTGGTTGTATGGCAACCCCGAGCTTATAGCAGGATTATGCGCGTCTCACTTGCCCATAGAAGGTAGTAAATCTGCCTTGCCTGCTCCGGCATTTTCCACCCAACTGCTCGGAGATGGGCCGTGTTTGGGCTGGTTTCCCACTGCAGTCAGGAGAAGTCTTCAGTCTCAGAGGGCGATAAAATCAAGGCATTAAGTGTGTGAAACAAAAAAAACAACAAAAAAATGTCTTTACAATATCTGTTTCCTTTCCGTCTGGCTCTTTCTCCCTCACAGGGGATACAACATTGGAGTGCGTCTGATTGAGGACTTCTTGGCCCGCTCCAGCATCGGCAGGTGTCAGGATTTCCGAGAAACAGCCGATGTCATCGCTAAGGTAACCAGAAGGCCAATTGGAGCATGACCGTGGATGTCTCCCAAGATTGAATTAAGATGACAGGACAGGATTAAAAACTTAGATTATAGAGATCAAAACATCCCGGCACATGATGGGAGACAGGAGATCATGTTTTTACGGCTGAGTAAAGAAGAAAAACGTTAATTTACAGGATGAAGTTGACGTGATTTGGTATTTAATGCAGCAATTCACTTGCTTTACCCCGCTTTTTTTTTTTTTTTTAACACTTTCCAGTTTTCTAAAATTGAAAAACCCCATTTTTTGATGATTCTCCAAAAAACATAAACAGAAAAGCAGCTTTTATTCCTTAGCTGGTTGAAATGTTAGTATTGTTTGCCAGCTTTTTCAGTGCACAGATGGATTCACCTTTGTTTTAGACAATCAGTGAGAATTACAGGACAGTGGTTTGGACTCTGCAATAATAAATGATTCCCTTGCCGATGTCAACTGCGCGGCCCCCCACCCCCCCACCCCCCAAATTCAACCTCGAATATACGAATATATAAAACTGAACTATTCAGCCCCAATCATTAAATAGCCAAGTATGCACCTTCACAACACAATTTAAATAATATGGGTTAAGATACCAGCCAGAAGGTGCAGCTCAATTCTAAATGAGCATTTTTCTTTTTGTAAAAATTTGAGCTTCTCATCCCAATTTTAGCTTATTTCTCTTACCTACAAGACATAAAACAAGCAAGGATGAGAAAAGCCCTTTAAATGATTGTTTTCATTAGGAGCATAGGAAAGATTTCAAAGTGTGTGTGAGAGAGCAACCTAATTGGAAACAGACCCAGTGACCACAGTTGCTCCTTTAAGCTTTCCATTATGCAAAAATAGTTGATTTTGCATGATACAGGCCCTCTAACTACTGTATGCACCACTCTTTTAGAACAGCTGTATTGTGTATAAAGAACAACCTCCAAAATTGCTTGTTTCATAAAACAATTTATGCTCATTAATGTTTTGATCTTCTTTAGTCCATGCAAGGACAAGAAAATTTATGTATTTCATATTTGTTCCCTAAATTAACATCATTTAACTGCTGTTAAAATTTAACCGCTCAACAATTTTGCGTCTACATCTTTAAATCTGTTTACCTGGTTTGTCTTAACATCCCTAACAGAAGTTGAATGCTTAAAGCATCTTCTTTTCAGCCTGTAAAAGAAAAAGAAAATGGCTACTGAAATTCTTTTAAAGATATAGTGAAGGGACTGCACTGCTGAGCTTTTGTTCTGTTCTTTATGTTTCGTTGTTGTTATGAAACCAAAAATTAATAAAGATATCTATATATATAAAAAAAAGATATAGTGAAGGATTTTTTGAAGACTCTTCACTTTAAAAAAAAATGCACATGCTTAACCATATACCCGCTACAGAGAGGGAATGCCTATTAAACACGTGCAAGAGCACGCACGAGCCCATTTCTTCTTGTTCACATTCTGTTTAAAAGTTGTTGTTTGCATCGCTCATACAAGCTTGCTTTCCAAAACAAGATTTGCAATTTTTTCCACAGCGGGGAAAAAGACGAGCTTCAATGACTGGATGAAGCCGTAGCTCACCACACAGATACACCTCAAAGTGTACATGCGCACAAAAAGACGAGGGGCGAGAACGTAGGACGGCCTTACGTAAACATACCAGAGTGATTGACAATTAGGACAGGGTTTGACGTTAAGGATTTTTACCACTTACCCTTCGGGCAAGTGACTTTCACATGTCATTTGCCCAGAAACAATTTTTACTTGCCCAGTATAATGTTTGATAAATATAGTTCCTAATATTCATTTTTGTATATAGATCAATGAAACATGTTTGTTTTTTTAAATGTTTTTGTAATTCAGTATTTTTTAAGTTTCCAGGTTCCTGGTGTGTATATGCATGCATCAGATAATGAACTCAAGCCTACATTACCGTGTTAACATGCTTTTAAATCCTTCTGCACATTCTTTTCAAACTAAACTTTGCTTTAAATTGTTGTGGAAAAATATAAATTGTAATGTTAGAAATAAAATAAAAAAACTTGACAGGTTAAAAACTTAAGATAAATCACAAGACAGAAGTCAATGTCACAAATGAATAACTTTTATTTTAGAGTCACGGTATGTTTATACAAGATAATACCATTAATATAATGTGACTTTTCTAGAGAATTATTATACATAGTTATTTTATACAGGGTTTCAACAGTCTTACATAATGTCAGAATTCCCTGACTTTTAACTGACTCAGGATAAGTTTTCCCTGACCAAATAAATGCAGCCGTTTGTCGTTTTGGTAACTACATCAAAATTACCGCTAGGTAGACAAAAATCACGCGAGAATGTGTACAAAACAACAAAAATGGCGGCTGCAACACTTCTGGGTCGTTCTCATCGAATTTCGGTGATTTTAAAGTAATTTTGAGTGATAAATATTTTTTTTTTGCGATCATTGCACTTGCCTGGCGGGCAAATGCAATGAAATTTGTAATCTCCCAACAATAAAAACTACTTGCCCCAGGAGATCGGGCGATGGTTAACATCGAGCCCTGTAGGAGGATCACTTATTTTGATGATCCTCCTGAAAAAACAATATCTTCCACTTTGCCTTTAAGTTGATCTTAGACAACAGGCCGATGGAGTAAAAGCAGCTGCTGTTAGTTGTCTTCCCTGCGTAACAGATTGCTGTTGTCACCATGATGAGGTGTTCAGTTTAGCCTGTTTAATCTAAAAATGGTCCAGGTCGGGTCTCTGGTTACTTTTAAAGTACATTTCCCTTTTAGTTGCAAATTTGAATAATACTTGAACCCGTGTTTATTCTATTTTTTTATTTTTCAAATGTAACAAAACTGTTTGGATACATCGGCTCCAAAGCATTGAGTGTATATCCTGAATCCGATTTCAGGCTTCTAACAATCCTTCATTCTTTCTGCCTCATTTTGTTTCTTTGTAGTTTTAGTGGCAGAGGATTAAATGCCATCTCTGGGTGGATCATTTTTCCCCGGACCGTTGTTTAATATGATAATCAAATCTAATAATTTTTTAATATCCATGTAGGGCTTCATTTTCAGAGATTATTGCCCCTGTTATCTTATTTCCACAACTCCTGAAAGAGTCTAGTACTGAAGAAGCCAGTTTAAACTGGTAGGTTTTAAATCCAGTTAATACCTTTTTTGATATAATTCTTAGAATTTAAGTTTAATACTTTAAACAATATTTAATGTTTGTTTAGCATCACAACTAAACAATATTTTGCTTGATGATTAACAAGACAGAACCATGCTGAATAGATGTGCAGCTTTTCTCTCTTATATAACCCCTATTCCTTTGTCTTTTTCTTTCCCTCCTGATCCATTAGGTAGCCTTTAAAATGTACCTGGGAATTACTCCCAGCGTGACCAACTGGAGCCCAGGAGGAGATGAGTTTTCCCTCATTCTAGAGAACAACCCTCTGGCTGACTTTGTGGAGCTGCCGGATAACCACAGCACACTCATTTACTCCAACCTGCTGTGTGGTATCCTCAGAGGAGCCCTGGAGATGGTAAATTCAACTGCTCAGCTCCTCTTTTTAATAAGATCTTATTAAACAAAAATAAATTCAGTCTCATAGTTTAGGCTCCTGGATTTTGTCAAAAAAGTAGAGCAAAGCATTAAAACCTTTGCAGGTCTGCAGGATAAAAGAAATACACGATAGGCTATAATGATGAGGCCCAGTTAGAGAACTGTAGAGTTCAAATGTTAAAAATAACTCTTAGTAATGCATTTAGCCTAATTAGCTGTTATCAAGTAAAAAAGCATAACTTAATTGCTTCGCATTATGCCTCATGTTGCAACGTTTGCTGTTTACTGTTGCTGCTACTGCTTAATGGAGTTCAGTCCCAGTCTTTCTTATCCAGAACAGCAGAAAATCAGGAATTTTGGTTGGTTTCCTCATAACACATTTTAACGATGGATAGTATTTCTAAGATTTTCCTCTTAAAAACTTTTCCTATTAAAAGAAAATATTGCTTTATGTTTATAACTGAAAATTATTAAAACTCTGAAGTTAGATTTTTTTTCTTCCCCAGTGTTTAAAGTTAAACGGTCTGTTTCATTTTTAGTTGAAAAAGCATTTCCTGAAGAAAGTTTTATTACGTTTTTGAAAATGTCTTATTTCCTTTTTTCTTAATCTAAAAGTTTGCTTTAAGTTAATCTTTTTTTTAAAGCCTGGAGAGTTAATATGTTTTCCATCTATATGACAGCATTTAAAAGCTTAACAAACGGAAGAGAGTCCGAAAAAGGTCTAACCCATGACACCGCCACTGCCATGCCTTACAGATGGAGAGTTCTAAGCTATTTGAATTCTCTGAATAAAAATAAAAGTTTCCTTTCCTGGTCAGATTGAATTGCTTTAAAGGTATATTGGAGGATTTTTCCCCCCAGCTGGATCACACTGCAGGCCTTGATGCTCAATTCCGATTTTTTTTTTGTGTAAAAATCCAATTTTTTTGCATTACTGTTCACATTTACAAATACATGCGATTTGTGATCTCCTGTGTGAACTGCAGTCATACAACGCAAGTGTCCCGCATGCACAGTAGGGGTGTGGGAAATAATCGTTTTGGCGATATATCGTGATATTCGGCTGCCCAATATAATATCGATCTTTCACTTCTTAGTATCGATTTAAAAAAAAAAAAAAAATGGTTACATAAAATATTGATGGGAAAATGGGCTACCTCTGCACCACCACTGACAGAAAGCGCTGTGGAGCCCTTTAACTGCGTGCAGCACCATATCTGTATTTGAGGCAGTCACAGTGGAAGAAAACCCCAAACAACATGGATAATAATACCTAATCAATATTTTCTGATGAAAATATACAGCACTTGCTGTTTTATCTCATCATTTGACTTTGATAGCTGGGGAAAATATTGCAATATATAGTGATACCGCAATATCGTGATAATATCGTATCGTGACTCAAGTATCGCGACATGTATCGAATCGCAACACTCATGCCAATACTCACCTCTAATGCACAGTAGAGGACGCAATGACGTCACAGGCCAGCGTGCTCTATGTTCACGGAAGTAAACATGGATGGTATTGCTGGCGCGCATCTAGCGGTCTTTTCCAACCATTAAAACACATTCTTTTCAATATGGTTGGACATAAATACTGCTTCCCGCATCATCGTCTGCCATGGTTGTTGTTTTTTTTGCCGTTACTTCTTAGCAAGACGCAGAATAGTGACCTATGTCGGGTATTAATGGCGTTCAGGTCGGATGAATGCGACCTGGCCGTTCAGACACAGGTCGCAATTTAAAAGATCAGGTTCGTATTGGATTCAGGATCGCATTGGAAAAAATCGGATCTGTGTTGTTCAGACTGTCATGAAAAGATCAGATCCAGGTCGCATGTAGGCAAAAAAATCGGATTTGGGTCACTACAGGCTGCAGTGTGAACGTAGCCTGAATAAGTGGTCCTCCTAATTGTCAATCATTCTGGTGATATGTTTATGTAAGGCCTTCCTACGTGTTCGTCCCCATTTTCACTGACATAGTGGAACGCACGTGGAAGCCTATTTTAAGAAGTATTTTGAGTCCTATTGTGGCCTAAGGATATGACGTTCTGACTCTGATTTAGGTCCAGATGGCGGTTGACGTGAAGTTTGCCCAGGACAGCCTCAGAGGGGACAACGTTACAGAAATCCGCATGAAGTTTATTAAGAGGATTGAAGAAAACCTCCCAGCCGGAGAGGAGTGATGAGGAAAACAAAGACACTTTTATTATGTTTAGCTGTGGGGTTTTTCTTTCAGTTGTTTTGCATGTTTATTAATTTATGTACATAATTGTAATCAATGAAATCAACATTAATCAATGTGTGTCATGTGATCTTTTTCTCATGGGTGGGTTTCAGTGTTTTATCTTTTCTATTGGAGTAAGACTGGACTTTATATAAGCCATTCCAACACATGCTGCTTATCCTTTGACTTAAACCATTCAAATGTAACTTTGGCTGTATGCTAACAGTTGTTTTGCTAAAAGACAAACCTTTGCCCCAGTCTTAAAGCTTCTTACAACCTTTTCTCCAGGATTACCTTGCATTTGGAACCATAGATTTTTCTAATTCTCTCCAAACAGCTTCAATGTCCCTTAGATGCATCATGAAACAACAATTCTCAGTGGGGCTTTTATCATGTTTATATACAATCTTTAGTTCTTCACCATGTATAGTTTTTGGTATCTACACAAAAAAGTTGCCCTGTCTTCCAAAAAAGTTTTTCAGGAACCATCAAGCAATTTCTTACCATGCCTGATAGTTTAGGGGCTGAATATTAAAGGTTGGAAATATAAATTGACATAATCCAAAAAAGAGTTTAAGAAGGAGAAATACTTTAGCAAGGCACTGCAAGTTATTTACTCTTATCTTGCCAGCCTTATATTTCACTTGGAGGTATTTCTTGGATGTACCATAGCTGCTTTGAGCAGTCAAACAATGCTGTATCTATTGCCAGGCCTGTGTTTGTGCACTGAAATAATCTGAGTGTGCATGTGAAGAAAACACCTTCAAGTGCTTGCTTGTGGCTTTCACACCTATGAATGAGTTTTACATTCCCAAGAAGTAATGAGCAGAACTTCCCAGTTAGGCCCGACCAGCACCTCGTCAATAACCCAAAGCACAGATGGCTTTTCACATGCCGACATGCTCGCACGTACACAAATCATTCCTCCCTTCACATTTAAATAAAATGGGGAGAAAGGAAAAAAATATGGTATGGCTTCCATGAAAACATGAAGCATGTTTTTCTTATTGTTCTTCGTTGTAACAGAAAAACTGTTGTAGCAAACTCACGAGCCGGCTGAAAGCACTTACGAGGATGAGATTGTCAGATAGGGATTTCCTTTTGGAAAAGATCTGTTAGCTAATAGCTGCCGGAAACCTCAAGGCTCTACACATCCTACTTTATAGCTGCTGTTACATAAACCCCTGCTTTCTTCAGTTTCAGTAGGATGCTGATGTAGAGTCCAAGCAACAGCCACCAGAGGTAGCTGTTTACATTACGTTCCCCTCCTGATGCCATCGCCGCTCTGTAGTGCAAGGTTGAAGCGATGTATAGCAGACTCTTTTTGGCCTAAGCTAGGTATCCTTGAAGGAACACATTCCATTATTTGTAAGGGGATAGGAGCTGCTAGAACACATAAATAAACAGGCCTTTTTTTAGATCAAGAATATGGAAAGACGATCCTGGTCATGGAGCAGCGTGGCCGATGCCAATACAGACTCTTGCACTGATTTGGCTCTAGATCAGAGAGGGAATGACATCACACCACCTTTGTTCTTCGTAAGATGTATTAGGTGTAAGAGCTGTGATTATTGCCTCTGCCTGCCTCTTTCAGCTCTGGTGATTATTTCAAGGGCTCACTGTTGAAAAGTGGGAGCACTAAGAGGGCCGGCGGTGAGCAATTAACCCTTTTTTTGGCATTAGGCAAGAGCTCAAAAGATTACAAGTACGTATCAATGCACCCTAAATGCCTGGAATGTATATGTTGGATCTAAACTGAGGCAGGAATCTCCTTTTTTTTTTCTCATTATGTAGATGTCTTAGCTGTCTACCTGGAAATGGATGGAAATGAGTTTGTATACTTGAGAAAAAGCTGAATCCCTTCACCATATGCTCGCAAGAGCTTGACAAATGCCCAGACAAATACACATGCTGTGCATTGAGGCCAAAGTGAGGATGAATTTATTACCATTCCTGTACTTGCATTCAGCTGATAATACACACTGGAAGGACCTTTTCCAAACACGCAATCTTGCTTTGCAGCGCTCAAAGCTGTAGCAGAGATTCTTTAATATTTCATAACAACTACCAGCTAAGTAAATATTTTCCAGGGACATCCGCATTTTTACGGTCTTCATCAAACAGTAGCAAAACAGTTTTTTTTTTATGTTTGCAATTGTTAGTTTTCTTTTAATCAGCAAAGATAAATGTATGAGACATTATGTATGTTTTTACCAAACAATTTTTACCTTTTTATTTGACTCTTAATGACTAAAACATCGTTTGATGAGCAGAATGACCCTTCAATAGTATCTATAAACCTGTAGCCTACTTTACTCTGATTGCATTTCCTGTCAGAAATAGATGTGACTTCCAGTGTGTCCATGTTGAATAAGGGCCACCTAGCAGACAATCGAAACATTATGTTCAAGAGGGATTTTGTGGATACTCAGAAGTGAATGCCATCCAGCGCAACTCTGACACCTATAGCTACCCCATGTAAGGTGAATAAAACCATTAAAAAACACCTTAAAGGTGTTTTGGAGGATTTTCACGATTTTTTTTTAAAAGACCTGCCCTTTCCGCTTTAAAAAAAAATGCACATGCACAACCCTGTACCCGCTCCCAAGAGGGAGCACCTATTAAAAGCGTGCAAGAGCGTGCACAAGCCCATTTCTCCTCATGCACGCTCTGTTTAAAAGTTGCTGTTTGCATCGCTCATACAAGCTTACTGTGTCCTAACTTCCGCCATAACCCCTAAATCCCTCAATTCCTATATAGAGCGGGAACTATAAAGTGGACTTTATAGGAAACTCAGTTGACTTACCGTTCTGACAGATGATTACTGCTTTTAGCTTCCTAGTGGTCATGTAAGTCCTCCACACCGCAGTGCCTGCGCCATCTTTGTTATTAGTCGCCGCTGTCCGCTGTGAGCAAATCCCATAATGCTTTGCAAAAAGAGCTCTCTGGGATATATCAGCCTCTTCTGAGGCCTTTCTTTTTTTTATACACTTCATAGAAACTTTTACTCTTATGACCCTCAGCCATTTTCAAAGAACCGTAGTAAGAAAGAGGAGCTTCAATGATTGTATGAAGCCGTAGCTCACCACATATATACACCTGAAAGTAAGCATGTGCAAGAAAAAGACTGGGAACGAGCATGTAGGACTGCCGTAAACATATCATCAGAATGATTGAGAGTTAGGAGGACCACTTATTTAGATGATCCACCCGGAAATAAAAGATTGTCCTCCTTACTTGTAAGTATGAGCGTGAGCTACAAGAATGAGCAGAAGAGTGCTGCAGTTCTGTTTTTTGGCCACAGGTGGCAGAATCAATAGGAAGCTTAAAACTGTGACTGAATGCAGTGGTGTTAAGTGTTAAAATCTCCCTTTAATAAATCCTAATCCCCATCCCAAGTTTTTTTATTAAGGCTTTCAAAAACGTCTTATTTCCTGGGACCACATGATTCGCCAAAGGATGCATTCTTAATCCCTGTTCCATCCGTATCAAAAAGCTAATATTGCTGAGTATTAAATTGAAGAAATTGGCAGACAGGTTTCTGAAAGTGAAATTTACATAAGAAAATAATTTTGGTGGTTTCACATAACCAACGTTAAAATCAAATGTGGCCATCTTGAGTCTAAAGCCTAGTGGCAGTGCAATTAGAAATAAAAGAAGGAATTTAAACGATGGTATTTCTTCGTATGCATAATTTTCATGATAACAAGACAGTTTGCCAATTCATTAAATGTTAATGTCATTAAATGTTAAACAGACTTCTGAACACGTGCCATTTATATTTCCTAAAATCATCTAACTCTGCTTTAACTGAGGGAAGTTTTGAGATCTATATGTTCTGAAGGAGGTAGGTGTCGTGAAAGTTTGTGTTGATGGTTTTAACAGTTTTTACCCATTAAACAAGAGGTATGAGGACTCCAAGCAAACTAATGCACTATTATGACTTCACTCCTCATAAGCTAGCAGATGGGATTTCTATTTCCCTTTGCAAGACTGCAGATGTTTTCACAGAATGAAAACACTGAAAGGAAGAAAAAGGGATTTGAGAGACACCTAAGTCTTTTTGAGCCACAGGGATCTACTTGAAGATGTTATCATATGCAACACACACACACACACATTTGTTTAAATCAATCTAAGACAGCCTGCTCAATTCTTGCCCTCAGCAGGCATGCAGCTCCCTATTAAAGTATCTCATTTTATTCATATTTTTTATTAATGCTGCCTGTATTTTTCAGAAAACTTTATTAGGACAGATCTGGAAAACAAGTAGCAAATGTTAAGGGCCTGAGACAGCGTATGCTGATCTGCTTTAAGCCAGATAAATGTTTCCATGTGCTGTTTATGGGAAACAAATGGGGAAAGGCACGCTGTGACAGCGAAAGCCCAGCACGCAGCGCTGGTACTGACCTGCACTTTTATTAAATATCATATACTTTTCTTCTACCTCCACCTCATTCATTTTCACATTTTTCTTTTTCAGTTCTTAACATTCTATAAATCTTTTTGTCAATAATTATTTTACCTTTTGATATTTTTCTGGAATGCAAAAGGTCTAAGAATGTCCTGCATCGGATGGAAAATTTGCTCTCGCGTTTAAGTGGATGACTGGAAATTCAGTCATCCAGGACTTCCTCAGGTACCCTACATGGCAGTGAGGTACTCAGCCTCAATGTGTTAAAGTCAGAGATTTGCCAATAACCAAGTGTATGTATGTGTTAGACATCCTGCGTTGCGAAGCAACATGGACAAGTGTCAAATGGGCCAACAGTGCACACTTAAAATATGCAAACACAAGCACCAGAGTTGTCCACTTAAACACACACTGTTTGATTTCCGTGGTTTGATGAGATGTACTTCCCAGATTTATGTTCATGAACACCTCAGTAAACAAATGTGGATGTGGTTTTCAGAGATAATTATGAGTTTATTTGGTATTCAGTCACCGCGTCTGCAAGCCATTTGGATCCTGAAGTCATTATTCACTGCAAACAGTCGAGCACTTTCATAAATCTAACGCGTCCTGTTTTGCTCTGCTGTGTACGATGGCTTCTATGTCTACTGCTTCATGCAA